TGTGTCATTCTCTTGAGAATGATGAGATTATTTGTTTGAGTTGTATCCTTATTTATGTGTCTTCTCATGCACAAATAATACTCTAAGCTAAAGAGTGTTTTTCATCGTAAGCACATGGCATCCTAGCTGCCATCTTGGTTGAATTTATCAAAAGAATTATCAATACATTTTTTGTTATATCATCCAACATGGCCGCCCTATCTTCTGTTATTTCATTCCATTGAGAATGATTGAAAACCAGCAATTGTCATCCAATCCAATCCAATCTTGATGTTTAGGGAATGTTTTTTTGTTTACATATGTAAGCATCTAGTCTTCACTTTTCCTCATTCATTGATTTTTGATTTTCTGTAGGCCATAGTGCTGGATGATCTGCCAAATAACTTAAAGCCTGCAAAAGAGCTAGGAATGACTACAATTCAAGTCAAAGATCCTTTTTCTGCACTCAAAACACTAAAGGAGATTACTGGTGTAGATGTAAGTAATGGGTGCCTGTGGTGGACACAGGAAACCCATAAACGACAATAATAAGCTACCACTGAATATTACAAAACGTTGTGTTTCAAGTAATATGACATATTATTCTTTTTCTTGAAGGTGTTTGCCCCACATCCTGTCTCACCATGTTCTCCTAATGAGGTTCCACATTGCTTTGTGACATTAAAGGTAGGCAAGACTATATGATTTATTTTAGCAAAAAACAAATACAGCTGCAGCTCCAGAAGAAGGGTTTAGGGGTGTAGGCCAAATATTTTATATAGACCCCTTACGTACATGTGACATCATAGGACCTCAAAATTTGGAGGGAAAAACAAAAGAATTTCAATCTCATGAGAATTGGAAACCTATTGTTATGTACTTCAAAAATGAGCTGCATTCTGATCAATGTACTACAAGGAGTCTATTCATAGTCAGCCCACTTCACCTCCTCTACCCCACTCTACACACACACACACACACACACACACACACACGTTTAAAAACACGTTGGACCTGTGCTTGCATAAAATTAATATTTGATTCAGCCAATATGAAAAAAGCACTTTTAAAGGTAACATTTACAAACACACCCAAATACACATATTAATCCATGAGGCAAAGATGTCTGGGTTTTTGCCATTGGTTAATCCAAAAAATACTAACTTGAACCACTGAATACTTGATTAATGGAAGCCTAAATGACATCAAATACATTTTGAACTAAAGCTGGCTTTGTGTTGGCTACTTGTTACAACTAGTAAAGTGAGAATCCTATTGCTTCTCTTTCTAGACTGGTATCAAGATGCATTATGTAGATGTTGGTCAAGGTCCTGCTGTGATTCTCTTGCATGGATTCCCTGAATTCTGGTACATTTGGAAATATCAGGTACATATGAAATGGAATTTACTATTTACTACTTTACTTTGTTTTTCAGGAAATGATAACTAAATAATTTTAATAGTGTATTTATTCAAACAATAAAATAAAAAAATACACAGCAATTTTATGCAATGATTTCTTTTTCAGATCCCAGCACTTGCACTGGCTGGTTTTAGGGTTATTGCTCCAGACCTTAGAGGATACGGACAGACGACCAGTCCATCAGGTACATGTAAATTTATGACAATTAGGCCTTTTCAGATTTGATTTTTTTATTGTCATAACAAATACAGGTTTTCAAAAATGATTCTTTTCCGTCTTCCCATTTTAGAGATTGTAGCCTATGGCAGAGAAAACTTATCAAAAGTAGGTATAATTGTTATCATTACAATCATCAACATCAGTCGATCATTCACTTCATCATCAATACAACATCATTCATCATCATCACTATCATCTTCATCACTATGAACATCATCCCACTGTCATCATCACAATCATCATCAGCAGCAGCAGCATCATCGCCACCAGCATTAATATCATCCCACCATCATCATAATCATCCCATCATCATGATCATCACAGGCATCATTCCTCATCATCACCAGATTAACATTCCTACTCATCGCCATCACCATCATTATTACCATCATCGTCTTCTCTCCTTTCTTTTTCCAAAATTAAAGTGCAGTTTCTTAATGTTTTTTATCTATCATGTACAGGATATTATTTCTCTCCTGGATTGTCTGGTAAGAGCTACTGTAATATAAATGAAGAAATAAATAACGAGTATGTCTTGAGTAGAAGTAAGCTGGAATAATGCATGGTCTCTGTAATCGTAATCCATATTTTACCAAGCACCACATGCCAATATTCTGGCAAACTTATGGCATCATCACCATCACCATCTTAGGCATATTGGCTAGTTTAGTGCTCTGCTTTGTTGACGGTATCATGTGCATTGAATTATAAGTAGTTAACATCTTTCATGGATTTCTTTCTGATAAATTTTACGCAAACTATTACATTCTTAGTATATTTTATGCTTTCTATAGTAATTGTGGTGCTACAGTATTAGCAATGTATATTCTCAATGGTACCCTTTGTGTTTTACAAACCTTTCTTTCTTTTCGACGTAGCTCCTACCTCAAGTAACAGTTGTAGGCCATGACTGGGGTGGTGTAATTGCATGGGACCTTGCTATTCACTATTCTGACAGAGTACGGTGAGTATAGCTGATGTCATGATGGAATATATACAGTCGAACCTCTATTAAGCGGTCAACCCTGAGGAAACATCAGGTGACTGCTTAATAGAGGTGACTGCTTAATAGAGGTCAAGTTTACAGTAAATACAGTAAGAAAAGCGAATTTCAGGAAATTATTAAGTGACCGCTTAATAAAGGGTGACCGCTAAATAGAGGGCCGCTTAATAGAGGTTCGACTGTATAATAAACCATTTTTGAGTTCCAAATTACTGTATTCCTTGATTACAGACTCATTTGCACATGGTTGGCCTCGTATCATGTCTAAAAATATTCACAAATACCAATGGTAAAGAAAAGAATGCACAAATTGAGTGATACAAACACTTTAAAATTTAAAGGACCTTCTCTGTTAGAACACATAAATATTCTTCAGAAAATCAAGGCTAACCCTAAGCAACAGAGAACCTGAAACTGGAGTATTCCTTGCTCAATAAGCACATCTCTTTAAAATTTCCCCCCCGTTGAAGAGGGTTAAAGGTTCCTTGGGGTATATATTTCTTGTTGTTTATTTATAGTGCCATAGCTAACATGACTCCGTACCAACCACCAAACCCAACAGTTAATCCTCTCAAAGCTCTTCAAGCCAAACCAGGGGTATTTCAGTATCAGCTGTACTTTCACAAAGAGGTATGACATTATGCATCATTCTCTCTGCTGTTTTCGAAACTATTGTCCAGATGAACATTATGACAGAGATAATTGCAATAATTTATAACCTAGTGCTGACTTCTATTTTTCAAAGGGAGAAGCAGAAAAGGAGTTTGAATCTGACTTAAGGAAAACTTTTATCTACATGCTAAGATATTCAACAGATCAGGTATGAATTGAATTCATTATCTATCTTTCAATCTGCTGGCTGTTCGTTTGGTGGTTTGATGGCTGTTTGTCAGTCATTTTATGGCTGTTTGTCAGTCATATGTCAATCTCATGACAGATGGCTTTCTACTGCATAATTGTGCACTGACATTAAGGTAACAATGTGATGCTGACCAAAAGCTAGTTGATAGGGCATCAGGGGAGGTTTGTGCTGGCCCGTGAAAATAAATGATGGGCATATTCTATTAAATAATTCAAAAATAACAATGATTTTAATAAGATGTTTTCCAAGTGATGTTTGTCATTTCTGCTATCAAAAGTCTTATGTCTTTTTTTAATTTTTTTATCGCACACATATAGTTGATGGGGGGTGAGCTTTCTACTGCCAATGTGCTTGAAAGAGGTAAAGTCAAAATCAAATTTCATTCAGATGAAAAATAGGTACCAGTTGAGTATCAAAACAACAACACACTTAAATGATTTTTCTCATTTGTAGGTGGAATCTTCAAAGGCTTTCCAGAGAACGTAGAAAAAAGTCCCATGATAACAGAGCAGGATTTGGATTACTTTGTAGAGAGCTTCACTAAGACTGGCTTCAGGTACTCTAGATGTTGTGTATATTCCTCCTTCCCTCCCTTCCTCCCTCCCTCCCTCCCTTCCTCCCCCTCCCTTCCTCCGTCCCTTTTTCCCTCTCTCCCTTCCTCACTTCCTCCCTACCTCCCTCCCTCCCTCCCTCCTTTCTTTCCTTCTTCCCTCCCACTTTTCTGTTCTTCCTCCCTTCCATTCTTCTCTTCTCTTTTCCCATCCTCCAAGCTTTCACCACTCTTTTTCATTCCTTCCTTACTAATACAACACATCTATCCATTAGGGGAGCTCTTAACTGGTACAGGAACACTGAAAGGAACTGGCTTTGGAGCTTAAAAGTTGTTGGAAGAAAAGTGAGATTTTAGTATGACACCAAGAAGTAATATGATTCTAGATTCTTATTAATACAAGATAAGCCAAGCATATCATTGTTTTACAATATAATTCAATTATATCAATTGTTAATCAATAGTTGGTTTTGTTTAGATTCAGCAACCTTCACTGATGATCACATGCGGTCAAGACCAAGTTATAAGTCCAGCGTTAAGTGCGCACATGAAAGACTGGGTAATCTATATTTAATATATTAAATATGTTTAGTCTTGTGCATTTACCATTCATCCTGTAAATGCTTTGAAGCCCTTGTAAATCAGCTTACTTTTTAAATATTGATATTCCATTGGTTCATCAAATACAGTGCTTTGTAAAAAATAACTGTGCACAGCTATAAATTTTGTGTTCTGATTGGTTGGGAGTGCATGCTTTATGAGAGCACATAGCATGCATGCTTATGCACTTTCAGTTGTATTCCTATCCAAAATAATTTTATTTATTTTATTATTTCATAAATGAAAAAGAAAAATTTGCTTGCTCTGCTGTGTACTGTATTAAATTACACTTTAAGCAGTACAACCTCTGCGAGTTTCATAATTTATAAAATGCAGCACGTAGTACATGTACATGTTTTCTATTTCTTCATGAGATGTTCTTCCTGTGAATTGTTCAATATTTCTCTCTTTAGGCTGTCAAGCTGTCTCAAGTGCACATAGAAGAGTCAAGTCACTGGACTCCATTGGATTGGTAAGTTGATAGGAAAACACAAATGGGATGGTGTGAGCAATTACACGCACCTCTTGTCAATGTCACCGCCAGGGCATCAAGCATATATAGTATAGGTAGAAAATGTTGTTTATATTGTTACTTATATAGAGGTTTTACACCTTCGTGATAGCAGCAATGACAGGAGACACAACAATAGTGTCTTTTTCCCTCTGGGAGACTGAATTCTTTCTCATGTAAATCAGATTAGCCCAGATTCTATTGTTCCTGCCTCCTGTTGTCATGGCTGCCATCACATGCTGCAAAACCTCTATTGTTGCTTTGAAGATTTCTCTTTCTTTCACCTTGTTTTAAAAAAATATAAAATGAATGAAAACATATTTTTTGTTGTAGTCCATTAAAACTAAACAATATCCTTATCGACTGGATGAAGAAAATCAAAGATGGAGCTGACACATCAAAACTGTAAGAAATGGCTTAATTAGCATCTTGACTAGTATATAGTATAAATATCCAACACTGACAGTTGACAGCTAGTATTATTATCAAATCAGGAATATACTAACAATAATCAATACTAATAATACACACTGGGACAATTCAACCTCTTTGGACATTTAACTAAAAATTGAACTATAATAAGGAAAATTTAAATATGACGTTTTGTCAAAGGATAATGCTGGTAGCAGTAAATCATATATGTTCATAGATTTAGAAAATGATCACAGAATACAAAATGGTCCTGACAGTTTAATTTGAAATTCTGTGGTGCTTTCTTACAGTACTTAATCATTAGAGCTCTACTATGGTTTTTCAAATCATATATAGCTTCAATATAACATGCATGTTGGTTGATTTGAACGAAGGATTCCTTCTTGGTGTCTGTCACATTAACCTACATGGTGGTCATGTTTTCTCGTCCTACTGAACATGCAATAATGTCAATAATTTTTCAAATTTAAGATGTGATTGATTGATTAAGCTTTATTACCATATTTTCAAAGTTTATTTACAAGATAATATTGAAACAGATATTGGTAATAGCTACTCAGGATAGCTAGACTAATCGAGTGATGCACAGAGTTGATTTAAAATATCCATTGATAAATCTCGTAACATGAATGATGTTCAACAAAATAATCCTGGAACTATTTAATTTGAAAAATTCAATTTGTATCAATGGGATAATGATATTTTAACTTTTGTTATGTCTGAAATTATGCACTTGTCTTGATTGTAAACCAATTTAATGATTACTTAAGAAGTTAATCATTTTTTATATTTTTTACAACAAAATCATGGAGATAATCTATTTATTTATGATTTATGACATTGTGAACATAACAAATTTAAAATTCATTGGTATTTTGATTAAAAATATCAGTAATTTGATCAATGTGTTGTACCTTGTAATCCTATGCTTTTTACACAGAAAAGAAACAAACAAGTCATGCGCACCCACTGATCAAAATAATTGAATCCTAGCCTCGTCGCCAGGCTACCCACTCTGCAGTTTGAAACCCAGTTTGTATTTTTGACAAGAATAATAAACAAGAAAATGATCATTCATTCCAGCTATTCTTAGAGATTGCCCTATAGGTTATTGCCTATATTTATATTATTGTAAGATAACGGTAAGATAACGATAAATGGTCGGCAAACGGAGTTACCGACCACTTACCATGCGGTGCAGATTGTTCACTTTTACCCATTATTGCATACGAAAAGTGGTTTTCTTTGCTATTCATCAGGTTGTAAATTGGATAGAAAACCTGATAAATATGTTGTTAATTCAAGTGTATTCTTGTACATAAGATGCATTTGAGTTACACAGTTGTAAGTTATTTCATGTAGCTCTGAGGATGGCCAATATGCCCTCAAATGACCGAAAGCTTGGCATTTAAAGAATTAGTTAACATTGGTTTATACCAAATCTTATCTCAAATACAGTACTTTGTTAGGCAGCGTTCATAATGTATCGCAGAAGGGGGGGGCAGGTGAAAATTTGAAATGTCCAGAATAATTCTTAACACCCCCCCTTAAAGTCATGCAAAAAAGTACAATCCCCCTAAGCAAGGCTTTGTAGCTTCTTCTAAGAGTGTGCATCCCCCCCATTTCTGATAAAAGTTTGCCCATCCCCCCATTTTCCTACCAAAATTTTCCCGATCCCCCTAAATTCCACCTGCCCACCCCCTCTGCCATACATTATGAACACAGCCTTAGCTAATTTCTAGATAGAACTCTACAAGAGGGATTTTCATAAACCAATGAAACAGATATCATTAGTTATTGTGTAATAGTAAAATGACAACAAAAGAACATGATGGAAATAGGGTCTACTAATTTGTATTATTATTAGTGTGTATTTCACGGGTTTATGAAAACCATTCATAAGTAGTACCAGGTCTATAATAGATCTGAACACACAACATTTCATATATTTGATGGTTGTTTTATTGATGACATAATGTAACAATTACCCTGGGCTCCAGAAATTCTATTTTGCTATCTGTGGTTGTAATGGCAAGCACCAAGTGAGAATAAATGACCTCTGGACCCCAGGGTAATAATGTTTCAATTCAATTAATTCAGAAAGTTCTCAGGACCACTAATATTGCATCTAATACATTACTGAATTAATATTTGAATTTGGTAATTCACCTAAAAAAATAATTACATCTTGAAGCAACATACTGAAGTAAAGCGCATCTGTGAAGAGGAGCTGATGGATGATTATGCAATAATAGGTCACTTGTTCATTACCATGACTCCCCACCCTTGCCCCTTAATTTTATCAAACCCTAAAACAATCTCTGGGCTGATTGGAATCTCAGTTTTTTTGATTTGTGGAGGCCGGAAATTACCGTCTGAAGAAGAGAGAATCCCATAACCAGCAAACTCTGTGCAAACTTTGATTCCAAGTCCAGAAATTAAACCCAAGACCCCAGAGGTGAGTGCACTACCACTACACCTTGAATCAATCCATATAGAGGTTTTAATGTTTTAGACCACATCATTCCCTTGAGATTAAAATTCTTTGTTTGGGATTTTTATTTGATATTTATCTGTTCTTCTTAAGCATTACGGATACATAAAGAAATATAATACTCAAGGGAATGACAAGTGGTCTGAAGTTGGAAAACAGCAGCTAGTAGATCTATGCTGAGGTTGAAAATGTCTGAAATAACAATTAAGCTACTGGTAAATGACTTTAATCTTTGGTGTGACTTTTTGTCTCACCTTTGAAATTCTCAATATTTACTTTTGAATTAAAAATATTGAAAGTGGACCACTAAAACTAGGATTTTAAATTATTCCTGCATTGGTTATTTCATGATCTCAAAGCCTACTTTCATTTATATTATTTTTTAAAATATTTCCACTCATGGCTTCCAGGATAAAGAAATTACTTAATCACATTGGAATATCTTAGGAGGAAAATAGTGTAAAAAGCTCTAAGCTTGTTTTAAGCCTTTATTTATTATAGCATAGAATATTTTTGTTTATTCAATTCAACTAAAAATAATCCAATGTTTAAGATCTAGTAAGCAGTTTTAAAATTGCCCTTTTGAGGCTTGCTTGTATCTTAACTAACATGTAAGAGAACGTGTCAGTCTCAACTTTGAAGAATTTTAAAGTCTACAAGAATGTTATTGTCTTTTGTAATTCAAAGGTATTTCTTTGAGTATTTCGTTGTGATCTTCTGTCTGCTTTTCCATTTTTTGAGACTTTAAATATTATTTTTTAAACTTGTATCATTGTTCCTTCCAGCATTAGAAACATTTTGATCTTGGGAGATATTGGAATAATAATCTTTTTGGACACAACTTGGAGTAGAACAGTGTCAGGAAGTTGTTTTACTTTCTCCTTGATGTCTGACTAAAGCAATGAGTCTTTTGACTGCAACTATCCATTGGTTTACCTGTAAAAAAAATCATTTACGAAGAGGTTAAAATCAAGTAAATTTAAATGGGGACAACTGGCAACTTTTTGTGATTGTAGACCATCAGAGCAGCCCATTTACTTGACTCATTTATGAAAGTTTCAAATTTCCTAAGTTTTCTTACCACTGTTTTCATTGCTAAGCACTTATCAAAAAAAAGTTGTGAGGGAATTCAGTAACCTTACATACTCTGATTGGTGGCAGTGTATTGGCCCATTTCCCTTTTGCGACTGTTTCTTGATCAGCATGTACATGTAACAATGAAATGTACCCAATAAAAACAGTGGTAATTTATATAGGAAACAAGTGCGAAGGTAGCAGGGTTGAGGGACCATGCCCTCCTCCCCTTGTGGCAACAAATAAGTGGCCTTTTAGAATTTAGAATTTGCCCCCCCCTGGGAAAATCCTGGATATGCCCCTGGGTAGTAAAGCTCCCTGCACCTGAGAGTGTATTTAGACTCTAGTTCATTTTCTTAAGAGTATTATTTTTTCTTATTCCTATCTGAATGAACTTATGTATTTTTGACTTTGATGAATAGTATTGTAAATTACCTCTGTGACATGGTCCACTATGATAGTGACGTGAATGTGGTGGGCATCTTCACCTCTTCCATCGTCAAGGGCTACAATGATAAAGAAAAAAAAATTAAAATAAGTATTAATTACAAAGCCTGTAATCAAGTTAATAGAAAACTAAAAAGTTACTTCATCTGATGCTTTTGCTTTGATTAAACGAACCAGAATGAATTTGGAACTGATTCAGTAGGAACTTCAAAGTACTCTGGGCAAAAAATAATGACAGGTGAAAAAGCAATGTATGACTACAGTTGACCACATCCAATGCAGCTAGACATGATTGAGCAGCCATCGTTTTTAGCCCTGACTGTATATACTCATGACAGCAATAAAGACAGTTTAATGTCCACAGATTATTGAAATGGTTTTTCACTTTTTTTTGCAATTCTTATGATCAAATTTAAACCTTGCGTAGGGGAATAATATTTTAGTGCTTCTTATTACTTCTTACAAATCCAACCACTAACGTAAAATAAAAATTTACACTAAAATTCATAACCAGCCACCCACACAGCCAGGATAGGTGGAAACCAAAAGCTATTAAAAATAAGACTAAATTTTTTGGAAGGCTCCCTTCAATTTTTGGCAATTAATTTAAAGACAAAACATGTGCATGTATAGTGTAATGAGAAATATCATTTTATCAGAACAGAAACTTCTAGTATCATTAGGAATTCAATTACTAAGAGTTCTTAGCCATAAATAAACCTAATCCAAAAGGGATTACAAATGCTCATTATTGATTAATATTGTATATAAATTTAGAATTTCTGAAAGCATTTCTTGGAGAAAATAATAAATTCCAAAACGAAGAATTAAATAAAGAAGAATGAGTAAAATAGTAAGCTGAGCACCAAATTATGGTGAAAATATATAATTTGTGTGAGAATAGACTAAGAATTTAAATCATAACCATTACATAACATTTTATACTCTTGAACAGGTGTTGATCTTGGGAGTGTGACTTGAGTGAGTTTGAATCTCTCTATTTAAAACAATAATTATTATTCATACCTTTGGCTAACTTTATCATTTTCTTTTTCACAGTCTTTCCAAGTTTTCCTTCCATCCACATATCTGACATGACCTTGAGTCTTTTTGCTATGTTATCACTTTCTCGTTTCTAAAACATAAAAATATTTTTAGTAACTAGGGTTCATTTTGGATTCAATGACAATAAAAGGTATTTGAAACACAATGGAAGTTATCTTAGTGATGAATGTTGTAGAGCATTTAAAAATATAATCATTTGGAAACTAAATTTATTAATGAAATATGGTAATCTTATTTGAGGAATTACTTATAATCCAAGTAAACAACGTGATTTGACTGGACTCCCTTTTGCTGTTAGAAATCTTTAATCACAATATTTCAATTGAATTTATTATAATAGTTATAGTTTTTGAATGTTCCATGGATGAGTTAAAAAAAAAAAAGGGATCAGAAAAGTGAAGTGTCTAAATTAATGGAAAACAACAAATACAGTAATTCAGGAAGGAAAAAGACAAAAAGAACTTCCTATTGTAAGCTTTTTCGGGACAATTTTTATCATTTTTTCAGAAACACTTTTAAGACATAGCAAGTAAAAACTCTATAGTCTATTAAACATGTACCCTAACAAAAAAAAGAGGTTTCAGTCTACGATGAAATTAAAAGCGGAACGTACCTTAAGATGGCACTTCTGAACAACATCATTAAGGGCATCCATAGTAGCTTTGAGACCTTCTTCATCACCCATCTCATTTACACCATCATCAACACCATTCTCTTCAGGTGACAGACACCTTGGAGTACTTCCAGTGCTTAAGGAACCTGAAGCAGGAGCTGCTAGAATTGACTGGGTTGAAGGTGTTGGAGTTGGTGTTCTGTGGGCGACAGGGAATGGGGGCAGAGTGTTTGATACTGGCAGTGGTGGTGTGATATGACCAACATGTGGGTGAGTATTTGTGAAATGAGCTGGCGGCGTTATTGATGGAGGAGGGTGGGACGACATTCCATGACCCAATCCACCAGAAAAGGGTATTGCATTTGTAATCCCTGGCTGCGTTGACATAATAGGAGTAGTTGTTGGAATAGGAGATACATGACCAACTGGAGGGCATGTCGAAGAGGCAGTGATTAATCCTGGAGATGGCGTCATATGTGTCTGGACAGGTGGTATCGTGTTTGTACATGCTGGTTGTCCATTGACAGCATTATATGGTGTTGGTTGGAATATCTGAGGAGGATGATTCCCATTCATATGATCATCAAGATGGTCACCTAAATCAGCTGTTGAACGTACACCAGACTCATTATGAGTCTTCACTGGTTCAAAAGAATGATCTTTTAAGTGAAAAAGTGGTTGTCCCAAATGCGTTGGAGTACCTAAGACTGGCACAGGACTAGGACTTTTAACTACGTCAGGTACTATACCAGTACTCAAAGAAGAACTAGACGATATGTGTGGAATTCCTGGAGGCACTGGAGAAGGACTTGGCATAAAGTTTGATGGAAGACTATGAGTTCTGTTGTGGTTATGGTATGGTTCTGTAGTTGGTGGAGTGTAAAGTGGTACTGCGGGGGCAGTAGTGTGCGGAGTATGGCTGGTTTTAGAATTCAGAGGAGGGGTAGTACTATGCGGATGTGGTGAAGTATTGCGCGGATTCATGGGTGAAGAAGAATGGAGGCTTAAACTGGCCATTCCTGGAAAAGAAACAACTTATTAGAGTTTATTTGTGTTGAGTTGATTCAAGGTTGACATTTTGAAGTCATAATCAAGACATTCAATTCAGTTGACAGTACCCAGCTGACCTGCTGTAGATGAATATAACAGGTGATATAAAACAATACAAATATTAGGGTTTTAAAAATTTTACTTTTCAATGTAAGCAGAAAAGGAAAGATAAAATATTGCCTCCCCATCAAAGTATCCATGAAATGTCATATTAACACTCAAGAAAAGGGTCAAAAGCATATCTTGATTATACTATTGATATTACCTGATTTACCTATTACGCATATACTTTTGATAACCATGAGTATTAAATATCAAAACAATATTATTCAGCAGTTTAGATTATCACCCAAAAATGTGAAAAATATTTCTTCTACCTTTCTAAAAGAGGCTTTAATGTGTCTACTTGAAGAAAATATTTTAAAGAAGATTCGTGATGTCAAAAAAAGATAATATCATTCAAGTGTATCGAAATAAATATAATGGTTCAAATATAATACACTGTACATGGTATAAACATTCAACGTTTAAAAGGCTTAAAGAACATCAACTCTAGAAGTCAGTATTAAGATATTATTTTTCTACTTACTATCTGAAACTTCACTCCCAGTGGCATAAGATGAAGTAGCTGGAGTAGTAGGAGGATTAGGAGGTGTATTGGTTCCATGTAAAGCTTGATGATGAGAAACCCTTTTTCTCAAATCAAGTTTAGGGCGAGAACCACCGCCTTTTTGACCAGAAAAAGCGAAGGTCGGTGGATCGTTCCATCCTCTTGGAGAATCTCCATTATAAGCGATTATACTAGTCGATGGAGCTGTAAAATATAAACGCATCGTTACAAACTGACTTATCGAAGTGAAATACGTAGCAGGCTAAACCAAAATTTACACAGATGTTTGAATCATGAATATTAACAATTTTTTTGTTCAAGCCTTTGTGGAAAGACTCATTTGTTTAGCATTTACGTAGTTAGATCGAGTATTCCATGGTTAGATGGCAGGTTTATGACAATAAAGAAGTTGCTGGATGGTAAAAAATGACGTAAATGTGAGCGATTTCTGCGTTCATAGCGTAAACATTGTGTAATGGACACAGGCTCATAGTGACCGACACGTATACTGCGTTTGAATCCTAAAATAAAATCAGCTGTTAATCTATTCCACCAAAGAAACAACGACGATGAAAATACATGATTTTAGATTGAAGTCCTCTCGTTCTCTGACACAAAATCCGATCAAAATAATACCGATCAAAGTAAAAGTTGAACAACCCAGTTCCGACATGACACCGTTTCACTAGTCATTCTACACCAACCTTCGCGTATATTCCAAGCCAGCATACCGGGTAATTTCGACTTAAAATAACGTATAAAATACAGAGAGAGAAAGAATAGTGTCTGAATTAGACAAATGTGAGGTTATTCTTACCATTTGCGACCGGATCAACCGGCATTTTGAGATCACAATTTGTGTAACCTAAACAGATTTCTGACGTGTCACAGCTCCGAGTACCAATCGCTTTGCTTCACGTCAGTCTCGAGCGGAAATCGTAAAATCCGAATAACGTACGAATCTGGCACGAAGCATATTAGCGGAAGTTCTCGGAGCGTTTAAGTCAGCGCAAGAAGCGCGGAAAAAATATCAAGTTTCTTACAAAGGGGAAAGACCGGACTTCCAAGTGTCGTAATTTTTACAAAATAACCCAAGATATTGATACCGTATGTACTTTCAGTAATAGTAGACTGTATCACGGAAGTTAAATTAACTTCCGTCTCGAGAGGGATATCGGAAAACATAAAAATAATACCGAACTTTTCCCGAGATAATGAAATGAGATAACTTTTCTCTTCGGCTAGTCTCGCCTTATTTTCGGAAGATCTCGATATATTTTCGCTCTAGCCCGATCGTTCAACGACTGGCCGTGATCCCATTTCCTCTCAGAATCAGCCAACAGAGTAACAGCAAGTGTTGACGATGGAGGGCATTTCAAGCTACTCGAATTTCTTGACGAAAGTTAGCCGTAATGTTATCATCTTTACTTAAAATGAAAAACATGAAGGGTTAAAGGGGAATTCCTAATATATTGGGTGGCCTCTAAATGTTTCGTCTTATTCTGGTTTTCCTCGTGTTGACTGGTTTTCAAGCGTCACACCATCACGAGCTTGAGTTAAAAATTGGTAAGTCTACTTTACTGTACCGTCTTTCTTGTTGACTTTGTGAAACAATTCCTTAAATTTTTATGACCTCGACTCTTCCTCACTACATTCTTTCTCACTGATATAAATTGACTGAGCGTTTATTTAATGAGGAATAGTGGTAAAACTGTTCAAAACGTATCATCATGTAGCTGGTCAACGACATTCAAAATTATCTTATTTTGAAAACACAACAACGTTTATAATATTCAAAAATACATTTTTCAAAAGTATTTTTATGAACAAAATGTTATGTCTTATTAACCAGGCTTAGTCAAAATTAAGCTTATCTAAAAATGCCTCACCTAGCTAAGCTATAAAATAATCCCATTCGAAAATAAATATATTTTCATGTACTTATACTTCCAGCTGTTTATAGTAGGCTGAGTCAACTTATTATGAATTTTTTAGAATTTCTACATCATTCTCTTTAATTTTAACAATATTGGACGGAATTTATTATTTGCTCACGTTTTTTTGGCGAAAGGAATACGTGTTTGTTAATGTAAGGCTCAATAATGTAGTAATACATTATTCATCCTGTGTGAGTATAAAAACTATTGCTGTATGGGTACATTAAGGTACATTCCAAGGATTGCATTCAGTGACCTTGATAAACATTACTGAGGAGTTTTATCTTAGAGTTAATATAGTAAGAGATTTTATAGTTTGCATACCAGTTTTCACACCTCTCCCCTTTGGACATTATTTGTGTCCTAGCAATGATCCTTCATTGGATTGTCTTGTCTACCCAGGAAGTGCTGATCAGAAACTAGAGTGTTAAGGATTAAACACATTTCTTTACACTGTATGTTAAGTTATAGCATTAATAGTATACACAGAAAATCACTCTTCAATGCATAGGTTGCTTTTGTGTTTGTTTATGTTTTTTCAAAAAGAATTTTATTTAAGTTTTTTATAAACACATGCTGAGAAATATTTCAGAATATTCAGAAATATTTCTTGTTCTTATTTATCAACTTTTTTTTCCATTTAGAACCAGCTATTTTTTGTTGCCTCATAATTTTTTGTCTCCTTGATGACATTCCTTGGTTGTCTATAAACAGGTTTATTATATTGAACAATTTTTGAATACATTTATTCATAATATAAATATATTAATTTAGGATATTTTTTTATAGCTAGTTTGCATATAGATTAAAATATTGGTTCATGTTCACACTTTTGAATTATAAATTTTCAGTGAGCACTTGTTACTTGGTTTGTTGCTAGGGAACATATTCATAGAATCTCCTAGCTTATCGCTAGGCAATCTCACACACTCAGATTTTTAGAGATGATTTAAGGTCCATCACTTTCAATTGTAGCAATACAGAACGTAAGATCAAATGAACCCTATGATTGATCCATGATATGATTTGCCAGCCGATTTGCCTTCCTTTTTTAAATGTGTTTTACAAAAGTTTATTTATCCAAATAACAAAGAGGTGGAAACTATGGAAAAGCATCCATCGATGATGTGTCAATCAACAGCTGTAAATGATATGGCTGTTTCTGGAAACCAGGTTTTGTCATGAAATAGCAGGATCTTATTCCTGTCTGGTTCATGGGTGTTTAAATCAGCTTTGTTGTCTTGTTTAAATAATTCCTTATCCTATTTTCAAACATTTCCCGTTGTTGACTCAATTTATTTACATTGTATTACTGTAGATTAGCTAATCAAGATTTTTATGTTGTCCAAAGTTTTGAAATATATATTCTAGGGGTCTGACTCTTCTGATTCAAGTTCTGTTCACCCAATAAGTGTGAATGTTAACTGACTTATTTAACATAATTCGATTCTTTCATTGAAAATGCTATACATAGAATTTCTTATAAATATTTCCTGTAGAAATGAATGTCTTTGAGATTCGCTGACTCATAATGTCAATATTGTCACGAAATAGACCCAACTCAGCCAAAGTTGATATTTTTGCATCTTATTAGTCTAGTCAATTTTCACCATTGATGCAACTTTTGGAGTAAATATTTTGGTTATAAACCCCAGGACTAGTTATAATTATTTAGTGTTTGTGTCCATTCATTTGATCAATTTCATTTCCAGCTGACGGGTGAATTTTGTTTCAGCCAATCACAGCGTGTTTACAAGTGTAGCTGTTTTGCCCTTGGCCCTCATTCTCAGGCTACTGTAACCCAACTTTTAACCCCAGTTTACCACTCAGCTGGTTAGCCCTAGCCTTTGAGCAAGTAGGAAAACTAGTCATGGGCTACCTGTACCTGTGTTGTTGCTCTCAATTAACAAACCTTAATGTCGTTTACCTTTAATTTTATCAGATGAAAGTGAACAATCAAACTATGAAGCCATTGGAAAAATTCATAGTCATCTTGATGATGATCGTGATGGAGAAGTAGACATAAGTGAATCTGATGAGGTATGGCAGACTGCTTATGGATGTGTACCCGATAACAATGTTTTTTTTACTATACCCACCATCAGCAATAAACACTTTAATTTTAACCTGCCTTGTCATACAGTGCACCATTAGATTTCCATTAGATTTCCATTTCAGACAGTGTCACTCTCTTGAGAATAAGATGAAATTTGACTGTCATTGATTTTCTTTGTCAAACTTTACTGATAAAGAAATTGTTCTCAAGAGAATGAGAATCCATCTGAAATCCATTCTAAACTTTAACTTGTGGCTCAAGTTATTAAAACCATTGATTAATCATGAAATATTTTGTTAATGACATTGCTGAATCATGACAATTTGTAGTTTAATACAAACTGGTTTGTTTCAGTTCATTCGAGATGAGCTTAAAGTTACTGACAAGAATAGCCGCAATCTCTTTCATGGTAATGACACCCAAATATCTGTGAGTGACCTCTGGAACAGCTGGATAGCAAGTGAAGGTAACATACACCCCCTACTATGATTCATAATTCACACCCTTCTTTCCTCTATTCTAGCTGTTTACCTCTCATTCTTTTTTCCCTTCCACACTTTCCCTTTCTCCCCTCACTGCCGCTCTTCCCCCTCTCTTATCCCTAACTCCCTTCATCATCTCACTTCCCCTCTAGTTCTTTTCTCCCCTCCCCTTCCTCTTTCCCCCTTCCTCTTTCCCCCTTCCTCTTTACCCCTTCCTCCCTCTCTTCCCCCCTTTCTTCCCCCCTCTTTTCCCCCTCATTCCCTTCCTCCATCTTTCATCTTCCCCTTCAAATTCCCTCCCCTTCCCTTAACCCTTCAACTCCAAGGACCATCTATTACTGTTGCTAAACTTCGTTGTACTATAGAAACAAATAGTTAAATAAAAAGAAAATAAAGCAAGCCCCTTCAAATTCCCTCCCCTTCCCTTAACCCTTCAACTCCAAGGACCATCTATTACTGTTGCTAAACTTCGTTGTACTATAGAAACAAATAGTTAAATAAAAAGAAAATAAAGCAAGCTATTGCTTCATTAGCTTGATAAAACAAGTTTACAAAGTAAAATTTCTCAGAAAGATATCTCAATCAGAAACTTGGATTTTATGCTCAATGAAAGACAAATGTGATCAATCAATATTAATTAATATTCTTATCACAATTAAATTATACATTTATAGTTCACAACTGGAGTAATGCACAAGTCGTAAGCTGGCTTGTTGAGTATGTTCATCTGCCGCAGTATGTTGATGACTTCACATCCGCTGGTATTAATGGCAGTATGTTACCAAGGTAACCGTGATGAGTTTTTAAAGTTTTGGCACAATTGCCTGCATGAGTTGATCAGAACAACATTTAATGGGCAGTTTCAGCTAAAACTTTGAAAAATAACTCAACTAAGCGGGGGCATAAAAAATGGCTGCTTGTGTGTCATGTACAGTACAGGCAAAATTCTTGGTCAAATATGAAACTAATTTTTGTGTGTGCATATTTTTGGGTTGCAACATATATTTTGCTCTGAGTTGATAAGTACTGTATAAAAGCCCAATTCAATTTTTTAGTGTGTGTGTGATAAAGAAAATAAAATCTATCTGTGTGATAAAAATAAAATACATTTTTGATGCATGCATGGATTCATTAGTGTCATGTTCATTAAAAATAAAAATTATCACGACAATAAATATGCAAAATATACTTTTGGAAAAAAAAATTTTTTTTTTTTCATCGTAGACTTGCTGCCCAACCATCCAATGGTGTGTTCCTTGGAATCAAAGATCCTAAACATAGAAAGAAAATATCTCTGCGAGCCATGGATGTTATTCTCTTTGGCCCACCAGGTACTCAATCTATACACTGTAACTTATTCAAATGGAAAAACTATTTACTTTTAATATTATAATTTATCCAAAGATGCTAATTAAATATTAATAGGTTACTTGTTGCCAGCTACAGTAGCTTTTAGTGTTGACATTCAACAGTTGAATAAGTGGTACTAATTCCATTTATTTTGTGCCACATAACTTTCTACACTGAGAGAAGAAAAAAATTTATATCAAACGTTTTCAGAAATTTCTCTCAGACTTTAGGTTTTTCACTTTTTCTTTTTTGTTTTCCATTTGAGTCTATGTGTTTGAGGAAACAGGTATCTGCTTGAAGGTTAACAAAATGGTCAAAGTTCATACTATAAGCCATACATGTCGATGTGCATGCATAAAGTGACAGCTGTGTGCTGTTAAAAGTGACAACCAAGCCATACATCTCATTATCAACCTCCAATTTACCCCACAAGACTATCACTTTCACCAACAATCCTCAGAAGACTCTTTATTGCAGTGCGAAAAATTCCAGAATCAATACTACGCTGCACCTGTATTTTGGATATTTTATATTTGGAATGTGTACTCTTTCTGATCCATAATGGATGTTCCTGGTCATGCTGTGTTCTCTTTGGCAGAAGTCTTCATCAAGAGCAGAGAAGATCTTGTGGGTGGGTTTGTGGGCAGTCCTTTTTCTTGTGGTTGTCCAAAGAACAAATCATAAAACTCCTTCGTTTTCAGAACCTTTTATATGGTTGGGTTGGAATTTAGTTGCTTTAGAAATAATTTTCATTCTACATAATTTCCTTATAATTTCTAGATAAAATTGAAATTTATAAAAAAAAGGGAATACTTTCTCCACTTTCAGGTTGCTGCAATTGGCAATCAGCTTAACTTTATAAAATGCTGGTTGTCACAATCCTTTTATGTTTCTCCATTTATAACATTGTAATTACTTCCTTGGGCTAGTAAAATCGATGTCTTGTCTTCTTTTACTATCCCCCAAAAAGATACTTTTAATCTGCATCATTTTTAGGTTCTTCCACATGCTCATAATAATATACTCTCTCGATAGTTTAACACCATCATCATTGTTATGAGAATTTTTATGCTCTTTTATTCATTACAGTATCAATCTAACATCGTAGATACACTTTTGAGTATTTCTTAACAGTTTATATCTCGCGAACAGCTGCAGCATGGCTTTCATATACTTTTTATTTTCATTCATTTTATATTATATCTTGCAACTCACATTTATCTTAAAATATACTCAGTAGCACAAATATGGATTGTTTTTGGATAACCGCGTTGCTTGAGTTTGGTACATTGCACAGTTAAAATCTTGTAATTTTATCCTTTTGTTCCTAACTTAAGTGGTTCCTGTTTGCTCCTGTTTTGTTCCTTAATTATGTGCATCTAATTTGCTAACAGCCTAGCATGATTGTCATTGATAATTATTAGATGTCAAATTGGTAGTTCATCCTCAGGGCCCAGTTGTTCAAAGCCCGATTAGTGCTAATCCTGGGTTAACTCTTAATAAGACCTATAGAGTTAATCCTGGAATAGCACTAATCCAGCTTTGAACAACCTGGCCCAGTAGTCAAAAACATTTTCATATTGGATTAACACATTACCATTTAGCTTGTACAGTATTTAATAGTCTTTAGGGTGTGTGTAAGTAGAGCTAACATCATTAAGCAAATCCCCTCACAGGGAATGATATGATGGTTGTAATTTTTTTTCTTTTTTTCATTTTATTATTACTTGCAAATGAGCTTTTTTGATGGTCTGTTTACCATTGAAACCAAGTTTCTCCAAGCTTCTTCAAATTAATGAGATTTAAATTTCACTTCATATGAATACTGTTCTTTAACATCAATCATTTTATTTTCAATAAATTGAGAAAATATAAATAATTGCTTGAAACTAAAAAGTCTAGCATGTTTTCCAGTATGTATTCTCCTTCCCCTAAGATCTTATTATTATTATCTTCTAATAGATTTACTTGAGTATATACCCACCCCACCCTCCCCTACTAGGTCTGGAAAAGGTGGGACATTTCTCAAATCTTAATCTTCATTTTATTCCCTTGCAGCATCAGGTCACAACTTCATCAAAGACATTGTGGTAGCATTCTCCGTTCTTGTTGCAACCCTTGGTTGTTGGCTAGCAGTACATCAAAAGAGAAGAGCCAAGAAACAGATGGATCAGATGATGAAGGATCTGTGTGTTCTACAACAGGCTGAACAGAATTTTGGAGAGCTTCAGGACAGGTAATTTACTAGTATTAAATCACTACAGTTTTTACTTTATTTCACTTGGGGAAATTTTTAATTTGAGTGTTTGAGAATGCTACCCAAATTAAAAGGCTATTGTTAGTTAAGAATAAAAATCCATCCTGACGGAGAATATTTAGGTGTCAATTTTATTTATTATTTATTATCTATAATTAATTATTTTCTAGATTAATCAAAGCAGAGGAAGAACACCAACTTGCAATCCAAGAAAAAGCTGATCTGGAAATGAGACTTATGGAAGAAAAAAAGAGTGCTAAGGTAAAGATGCATTACATGTACTTGTAGCACCAACATCCACTAGTATAACGATGATTGCTTGGTGTAGTAAGTGAATAGAGTTGCTTATGTCCTGTTCTTCGAGGGTTTTTCTCCTGGTCCTCTGTATTTCCTCTCTCTTTAAAAACCAACTTGTAAATTGCAATTGGAATCCAGCGGAAGAAGAGCCACTCTGTTAAATTCCACGTACTGTTAAATCTTTATTATGTCAAACTGACAGTCCATAAAACCACAACAACGAAATCCAATAATTATTCGTACCTTACTAACAGAGAGGGATTACATGTATTTATTATTCCTTGGGGCAGGGAAGCACAAAGGTTCCAAAGACCTTTTTAGTTTGGGCATAATGTTTTACAAATGTAGACCCCATGTCATTCTGTTGAGTAGCATTTGTTTGTCTATTATCCAATACATGTAATGTGTAGGGGTGTGTGTAATGGGTGGGGTGGGTGTATTCAGTAGGGGTAGGTGAAATGGGTGGGGTGGGTGTAATGGGTGTGGTGGGGGCAATAGGTAGGGGTGTGTGCAATGGGTGGGTTAGGTGTAAAGGGTGAGGGTGGGTGTAATGGGTAGGGTCAGGTGAAATGGGTGGAGTGGGTGTTATGGGTGTGGTGGGTGTAATTGGTAGGGGTAGGTGAAATGGGTGGGGTGGGTGCAATGGGTGTGGTGGGTGCAATAGAATGGGTAGGGGTGTGTGTAATGGGTGGGGTAGGTGTAAAGGGTGAGGGTGGGTGTAATGGGCAAGGTTAGGTGAAATGGGTGGAGTGGGTGTAATGAGTAGGGATGGGTTAATAGGTAGGGGAGGGTGGATTGGGTGGTTATAAGGGTGAATTCTAAGACCTCTACGCCTTGAAGCAAGTATAGATATAATGACGCATATTGACTATGCAGTTATGATGAGTATGTATCGAATGTTCATATAGTCTGGTGCTGTTCAGTTACACGATGCTAAAGAGGGGAACAAGGAACAGCTACAACGTTTGGAAGATGCTGAACACGAATTAATAGAGGTCAGTTGACTCACCTTTCTTTCTTTTTCCCTTTAGTTTGTTTTTCTTTTCTCACTTCAGTTTCCCACTCTTAAGAAACCTGCTTTAAGAAAGTATTGATCAACGATCAACGCAAAATGTTCGTCTTTTAGTCAGTCCCGCGGGTCAACTCACGGTTTTCCGATTCCTGCGGACCCCAAATGTGGAAAGAGCTTGTTTCACGTGATGTTCTCTTCCTTGACACGAGGATTTTTCTCCTGGTTCTCCCGTTTTCCTCACTCTGCAAAAACCAACATATTCATGAAATGAGAGTTGCGTGCTTAGAGCATTTTAAAATATAGTGGTAGTGAGTATGTCGCGTATCGTATACTTCAACATATTAGAGATCTTCAGCATCGGGTTAACGGCAAACCACTCACCGCTAGGAATCGGGCCCCGGAAAACGCCCACGAACACGGAGAAACACTCGGCATCAAAAAATTCAATATGGCCACTCTTCCATCAACGACATAGACATAGATTTTATTTAGTACCTCAATGTTTACATTAATCAAAGATATTAAAGAGAAATTGTCCAGGACGTAAGGTACAAGCTATCTAAAATAACTAAAAAGTTAATCTAGTTAGACAGCTAACAACTTCGTTATGACGCCTTGCTAAATGTCGGAGGTTTGAGGGAAAACACATGACGTCGAACTGCAGTTTGAGGTTCGCGGTGCTAGCAAGAACGTCTTGCTAAAGGTCTCTAATACTTGACTCTCCATATAACGACGTAAAATAAAGATTTATTTATTCAATTCATTTATAGGTCCGCAAGGCATTGCGTCTGGCCCAGAAAGAACTAGAGTACCAGTCATGGAGAGCGCCTTCAGCATTAAGAGAATGGTTACAGATGACCTACTCAAAGGAAACGAAACATTTCCATGCAAAACGATCCCAGGCATTAAAACAAATGGCTGAAGCAAAAGAGGCGGTATGTATTGCCGTAGATGGTAGACCCAATTCATTATACTGGTGACAATAAGTCATTTTGATTGGATAAGAGCTCGGACAAGTGGGACCTTTGCGCGCAAACAATAAATTACACCACCTTGTGACCACCGCACAAACGAAATTGCAATCTGTGATCACCTCTGTAGCGTTCACACGAAAAGTTGAATGCAAACTCCAAATCGCGCTGTGTGTTGACCTCTGCAACTGTTAGTACGCGCAGTGTTACAGAAGTAAAATACATATATATATTTGTGCAGCGTTGCGCGCAACTAGTTTTATTCTTGAGCTCGAACTTAAACGTTACTGGCAATGGCTTGATGTTCTTAGAATACTGCAATGCTTGGATAGCTATCCTTAATCCACAGTTTTGTTAGAGGCAACGTTCCTACGTGTGACATCCTTCAAAACTTTTGTCGCCAGCAGCGCCGCACGAAACATTTGCACCGTATGTCTGAACCTTAAACTCATTTTTTGCAATGTTTTTTTTTTTCATTTTTCAAAGTGTGAACGAATAAGAAAGAAAAGAAACAGCTTGATAGGATCGTTTAGGATGGCACACGACCTAACCATTGATGAAGTGGACCAGTACATCCTTAAAGCCAGGTAATTGCAGGAACATAGTTCTTGCTGTTCACGTGCGCACACAGTATCAGTAGTCTCCTACCCAAAAGCTTTTAGAGTCGTTGCGTGACACATCCCATACGTAGTTTTTTTGACCTGACGCGGCGTGTGCTGGAAAGCTTTTGCAATCTCCCACGCAGCAGCTTTTACGATAGATACGTGATATGTGCGCACACAGGAATTGTGGTCTCTAACGCATCTCCTAAGGTCGTTGCGCGGCACATGCGCATACAACATAGTCTCTTACAGTAGCCGCTTTATTGTGATTGCGTGACACTTGTCAAGCGACTGATTTCATTTTGATTACCACTTATTTTTAACTAACCATCTCGTCTTCTCCACTCGTTTCAGAGCATCTTTGGCTGAGGTGACCAAGGAACTAGAAGAACGGCAACACAGATGGTCTCAAATAGAATCCCTCTGCGGGTTACAAATAATGGCAAACGCCACTTCTGAAGCACCTTCTGGATCTTCAGGTACAGGCTCCGCTATAGCCAAGGCCCTAGCAAACTGTGCCAATATTGGAAGTGTAGGATCTGGAAGGAAGCTCTCTGGAGCCACCCCTCCCAAACTCCTCAACAAACTCGAAGACCTGCCCCCTACATATTCTAGCGTAGCGGTCCAAAACTCTCCCGACCTGAATCTCTCGAGGGCAACAGATTCTGCGCCGGTTGTTGACTCCAATGGTCCAGTAAGTGTAAATATCAGGGTTCCTGCGTCAAGCAAACCAGCCAGACTAAATCATTCTCAACCATGTATAATAAATGGACATGATAGTGTTAGTGATCTACATGTTAATGACGCTTCAACCATTGTTAGTGTCGGTAGTATTGGTAGTGGTAATCGAACGACTAACGACTCTAACCTGGAAGTTGATCCGTTACCATTAATTAACGGCAGCTTGGATTCTTTCTCTGGCAGCAAACATTCCCCACCTGGAAGCAAAAGTAAAAAGAAGCTGAACTGGTTCGGTAAGAGGAATGATTCAATGCATGACGTTGAACTAGTCAATGGCGCGGAGAGTGAAGAAGAGAAGCGAAGAAAGAAAATCAAATGGTTGTGGCGAAGTGCTGCTTTGAAGTCAACCGCGCGGCCAAAAGAACAAAATGGCAAACATGAAAACAAACGCGACTCCATAAGTTGAGGTTAGTTTTAGAGTCGGACCACAGTGTGTGAGACTTGTCTGTCTGCCATGGTAGATTATTATTTTTAACAGTCAGTGAAGAGCATCACAAAAATTTATACGCGCAGTCGTTATCATGAAATAACACCTAGTTTGTAAGCGACGGTAAAACAGCAACCAACATATAATAACTAGCTGTGTGTGTGTTAGTTGGCGCAGTGGAAATTGGTCAATATATTGCCACGTGAAAATTGGAGTCATTTGGCATGATAAAAATTTTAGAGCAAAGTTTTGGAGATTGTTCTTACTTTTGGGGTTTTTTGGTTGGTAAAGAAAGGAGTCATAATTAGCTTTGAATTCAATTCGCAGTGAAAATTTATGAAAAAACTTGCAGGTATCGTCAAGATAGTAAGTTTTGATCCGTTCCATTTTGGTGATTATTCTTGCTTTGGGCATCATTGGTGGGCATATTAGAGTCAGGCTGCTTTCAAGCTCAGCCAATCATATTATAGAAATCAGACCGAAATTTTACACTGAACATTTTACTGGCTTTTTGGTGTTTTTTGATTGGTTCCCGATAAAACTATTTCCTCAGGAGTTTAGCCAAGCATATAATAGAAATTAGACCGTAGGTTTTGGGGCTTTATGATTGGTTCCGAAAGAAACCATTTGTTGATTGTCTTTAATGTGTTTAAAACATTTGACATCCTTGTCGAGTAGATTTTTAAAACTTTTCATATTGTATCTTTTGTGTATCATATATATCTATATGTAATATATTGTAGAAATATTTTAGGAATAGTGCCCTCTCATTGAGATATCCTTCTCCAACAAACCACAAGGTGGTACCAATGTTGATACTTTAGTTATCCTTTTAAGATTCCTTTCCAATCATCCATAAATTAGGCCTTTTTCTTGTTCTGAAGGGTTAAGTCATAAGGGGATTTGTAGAGATTTATATGAAAATCTTAATTTAAAAAACAACTTCAATATTGACATAAGTTGTTAATTTATTGTAGTTTAATTTGTTGTACAATAGAACGTGCTTATTTGATTAAGTGTCTGTCCGGTTTATCCACCCACGAGGCCCACCAGCCCACCCATCCATCCATCCATCCATCCACCCACGAGACACCTATCCATCCATTCACTTACGAGGCCCATCATCCCATCCATTCCCCCATGAGACCGGCAATCCCATCCATCCATTTATCCATCCATTTATCCATCCATCCACCCACGAGACCCATCAGTGAGATGAATTCGTCCGAACCCCCCGAACATCCCCAGCCTACGGGCCTGAGAAATATAGTTATGTTGTGATAGAGAACCTATTATGGTCGTCCGGATGTTTCAAAATTCACTAAATAAAATTCGTTGTCGCTAATTTACGGTCGCAGTCGCTAAAAACCAATACGTTGTCGTTACTTTACAGTCAATGTCGCTAAAATCAATTGCTTGTCGCTAATTTTAACAGTCCCTGTTCATTGTCGGTAGTTATAACAGTCGCTGTTCACTGTCGCTACTGTCGCTGTCATTAAAATTATTACATTTGGGCGCTACAATTTTCTATGTAGGGAAAGAAAAGGAAAATTCTGAACTTTAAAACGAGAAGGGAAATTTGAAGCTGTAAATTTACAATCAAAACTCTATAAACTGGCATTCGAGCAGTTTGGCTGTTGCTATTAATTAGTTTTTAAGAACATTGCAGAAATTATACTGAGGGTTCTGAAGTGGTAAAATAGGAGCTGGGATTCGCCTCTTTTGGGGCTGGGAAAATGGRATTTTATGCACTGGGAATGGGATTTACAAACAAACAAAAAACGATTAGAAAATGGGATATAGATTAAAGCAAAACATAGGCTGGGACAATAGTATTTTGTCAAAATGGGCCATTGTCATGAGTCATTATTTCATTCCTTTCAACATATTTATGTCGTATTCATTTTTCTTTACTCTCTGAAATCGTTTTCGTTTTTGGTATTAATTTTTTTGGTAGCTTGCGGTAGATTATATGTTGGGGTTTTTGTTTAAAATCGATTGAGACCAGAGTCGTACGAAATGATTCAACTCAGTGATAATGAATGAATAAAGAAATGAATACCATGATTACAGTGATTGGCCGATATCTGATTAAAATGGGACTTTAAATCTTAGAAAATATATAATTTCTACAGCGTAAGCAAGAAGATGTTTAAGACAAATCATTAAAAATTGAAGAAAAAAAGCTTTATTTAGCTAATTTGTATGAATTATTTTGTATAATATAAGTACGGGCCGGCATTAATCATTCAACGCTTTTGTTGCCTATTTTGTTATTTGAGCCTACGTCGTTTGTGGTGTCCGCTGTAAAACAAAGACCTTGAGTTGTCTTTATAGGACAAGATTGGTGTCAATGTTAAAATCTGTCAATAAAACCTTTGAAATGAAACCCGGAACACGTGAAATCCCCCCCTTTTTTTTTTGCAGGGGAAAATACGTTTATTTGTCCAGATTCCTAACTCCCGCGTTCCTTGTCGGGCGGAGACCAAAATGAACGTAGCCTTCACTACAAAATTGGAATTGATTGCGCTTTACCTTAAAAAAGGGACTCATTTTAAAAGATTAATTTAACAACGAATAATAAAGGTTTTGCCGTGAGGTTTTGTAGATTGTAAATTTTAGAAATATTATATTTAATAAAAGAATTTTTGGTTATATTCTTGTGAGCTGCGAGGTTGGTTTCGTTGTGTTCGTGTTATTTAGTTATATATCAATTTTAGCGTTTAAATATTGTGCACTAACAATGAGAAATGTGTTGTTTAACCAGCTGCGCTTTAATTGGAAATTTTTCCCCATGTGTATGTCAAAATCTCTTGTTATAGGGAAACCCCACGGTACCTAATAAATGCCCGAGCGCTCGCCGCCCGTAATTGAACTATCGTAAATTAAACATCAGCCATTGCATTTATGCCTTTTTTTTTTTGTTTTTGTTTTTT